TGAACACAGGGATATTAGGGAGAATGTATATCTCCGAAAAGAGCTCAATTTTACGACTAACCTATCCCCCACTTTTAGCTATATTTTTATAATCGGATGAAATGATCTGCATTACAGTCTTATTTGGCCCCATGTTATTTAATGATCATTTTAAAACATGGAGGAAAGCCTCATGAAAGAGGTAAACTTTGAGATATATGGGCTATTATGTTGCAAATTGACCAGTGAAATTTACAATGGAAATTGAGAATGATAAAATTTTACAATTTTGGTCTCTTATATATCAGGGATGGGATGTATAAATGGATGTAGCATATACTGGCGTTATTATCATCTTTCTCATCCATCATAGTTACGAAACAAGGATTATGCTTTTTATTGGGAGTACAGAATAAGGATAATTAGGAGAATGAACTTGATATACTCAAATAAATATTACTTTTTAGTAAGTATAATCTAGGCCTGATTAAACATAGCATCCGATTGATCAGTAATATTCTACCGAAATAGGGGTTACAATGGCTTTTAAGGAAGCTATGACGCTTTCTTCAGCTATGCCCTTTTTTAGAGAGAAAGATGACGCATCGATGTATTACTGCGCTTGCTTTCACGCTGGAGAAGCCCAATGCCGCATCCGACAGATCTGTTGGGTTCAGCGATCAGACATAGCGACACACATTTTTCGCTCTTATTGCGTCCGCTACCACAATAGTAATGTCTTCTTTCATAATCGAAACTATGACTGGCTGCATTGTTATCATTTCAGTGAGAAAACGTAGCATTATACCAATTCCTGCTCATCCAACTTACGAAAACTTGGTCAGGCCAATTCAATACGGAACATGTTTCTGCGTTGCTGTTACATTCGAAGTCAAAGTTGCCAACAGGCCTCAAAGAAGCCATAGGCATAGTCGTGATTGTACTCAAAAAAAATAGTTTATTCAAAATTAAGCCTTCTCACTTGCACTCGTCGTGACCTCCTCAGCCTTCTGGCAGCCCGCTTTGTCAAGTCTGCCTAAATCCCAAATAGACATGGCGAGAATACTTAAATGTAGCATAATTCCACTCACCACACCTCGATTCATGACACGTCTAGCGAAACAAGTATTTCCGGAACAGGAAGGTGGGCGTTAAATAGTTTCTCACACGGATTCGTGCCACAACGACAGCAATCACTGAACTCATTCGATGCCAGAAGCGCACTCAAACGTACGCATAAAAACAATAAATAAATGCATACACGCAAACAAACATGCATTCAAGCATACCTACATACATGCTTACATATATACACAAGTGTGCACACACACACATACGCACATGTACATGTTAATCTTTTGCAGATGCAGATTCGTGTATGTGCGATTACAGCATCGTCTTTGCAATTCACCAACAGACCCATTTTTGATGCGGGCTTATAAAACAGAGTCTGGTTGGCATACAATTGCAAACGTATGCTTGTGTGTTTCGACTGTGCCTCTTCGGCCAGTGTGTCATACACACTCACACATGCAAGGGGTCTGGTGTTCCAATTGCATAGACCCCTTCAGACAGGAGGATGGGGGTGCTTTACGCGTCCTCAGGCCTGGCAACGCGCGTCCTCTTTGGTCTGAGAGTAGGCATTTCCGACGAGTTACCGAGGCTCGGCGCCGGGAACTGCTCATCTCCTGGCAACCCGGGCGGAAAGAGCATCCTGGCACGGGCCCACCCCAACCCCCCTCGTCTGTTCCGTGCTCACGCCGGCGCCAGACGGGCTTATGGCCGTCGGGCGGTGTGACGTCCGGATGGGTTGCAGAAGACCTTGAGCAGACGGTCTCAGAAAGCTGGTACCACGTCGCCAAGGCGGATCCGCCTTTAAGTGGGCACTAAAACCCCGTCCATCTCTGGGACAGGGCTCTGGCACGAGTTCACGTGGCAGTAAACGAGTTGCAAATATGCTGTTTTGCGGCCTCTCTGGCGTCTAGAATGACGCGTCCGCTTGCATGTACGGTTTGTCTGAAAAGTTTCCGATTTTGGAATGTCCACCTTCAACCCTCCGGGGAAGATGGAGGTTGCAGAATCCGGTGTCGGTGTATGCATTTGTATGAGAAAAAAGTGGTTAATAATAAAAAGTAGATTTTGAATAAGAAGTAGCGTTGAACAAGTGTCATTGAATTTTTATTAGTTTTAAGCAAGATCTATCGAATTTTGATTTAGCTCTTAGCTACCGGATCTTGGGAATTTGCCTTGTGCTGATCCGATCTTGTGTTTACATGCTACCTACTCATTTTTAAGCTAGTAGTGTCGAGTGTTATAATGGAAAAATTGTTTGTTATATCAATACCAATACTTTTAACAGTGCCAATTGTAAGAGGTGTGGATAGCCTTAAATAGCACATCTGACCGTCACTGCTGGGTGGAATAACAGAGATTCCGGTTGGTGTATGCAACCAGGCTTGCAAATTAATTTAAGGCTGCCGAAATTGCAGAGATTGACTAAACTTATTCCTTTGACTAAGTGTAGCTTATATGAGATGTATTCAG